CAAAAAAAACCAGCACGGCCGAAAAGTGTGTTGTCCCGGCAGGGCCCATGCGTGGGGCCGCAGGAACAGCTCAGTGTCCAAGGCGACACTACCGCGGCCCGAGGATGCGGGACCCTAGAGGWGACATCCGGGGGCTCCTGGCGGAAAGCGAGAGCCCGGCGGGCAGGGAGCGCAGCTCTCCTCGGGGAGCTGGGCCGGCGAGCCAAGCGCCCTGTCCCCGGGGAAGAAAGAGGCTTCCCTGGAGAAACCCCGAGGTCAGCCGTGCCCGTTCCGATGGGCCTACCGCCATCTCAGCCCGGGATGACAGGACCCCAAGCGGGCTGCGACCCAAGGGCTGCAGCCRTGGGTCCCATCCATCCCGTCCACGGCAAAATTCTCTCTGTCGTGGAAGAAAAGAGACAGAGCTGGGGGTGCGGTCGGCAGCTGGCACAGCCCCCGAGCTTCGGCTGGGACCCCGCTGTACCTCCAGCCCCTGTTCTCMATTGCGGGGACCGAGGGTGAGAGAGGCGGGGAGCCTGGCGCAGCCCTGCTGCTTCCTCTTTCACGCTTAAAAACAAAACAAATCCTAATTTAGACCCTCAACACCCCGGACCGTGTTTACATCCCCCCCGCTGCTCTCCCCGCGAGTGTTGCTTTTCCAATTGTCACGATTAACCTACGGGGCTCCCGCTCGGCGCGGAGCCTCCGCTGCGGCCGGGACRGCGCGGTCGAGTCTAATTGGCTTAYTGGACCTCCCCCCACACACCTCCCCCGCCCCGGCAAGAGGTTCTGAACGGCATCTTCCCTTGTCGTGCTAGAACTAGGTGAAAGCCCCTCCGCCAAGAAAACACGGGAAATCACACCGTCAGCAAGTTCAAAGGAGGCGAGTAAAAAATATCACAAGGAAATATCACTGTTGCAGTAAGGAAAAGTACAGGAACTTCAACCGAAAACTGAGACGAGTTAAAAAAAAAAAAAAAAAAACAAAAAAAAAAAAAAAACCACCAAAAAAAAAACCAACAAAAAGAAAACAAAAGAAAACTCGTCCCCACGGCCCGGTCCGGCCGGCGCCCAGCACCGGTACGCAGCCGCGGGTATTCCTCAGCCGGCGGTGCGGTGCGGTGCTCCCGGCTCCGCAGTATTCCGCCCGCCCCAGCAGCGGCGGCCAGGCTCGGGGCAGGCTTGGAGCGGCACGGGAGTGCCGGGGAACCCGCCCGCTCCCACCACACACCACCCCCCCGCTCCCCTCTTTCTGTGACCTGCCACGATTATTAGTAAGGACATCTGTGGCTGGCAAGGGAACAAGTGTTACCAAAACCAGAACCGGCTGTTTTTCCAAATGAGCAATATGTTAATTCCTCATCCCCCCTCTGGTTTCTTTAAAACCTGGCACAAATACATCAATAGCGGAGAATAAGGAGCCTTTGCATAGAACAAGTGGCAGTTTTGAATTTACCTTTTGTGTGCGCCTCAGATGCAATCTTGAGGCATTTTTTCCCTTCTCTCCCACAGAAAAAGAGTGTTAATCTGCCCTATCTTGGGACCCAAAAGGATTGGAGTGGAGTAGATATTCACTGGAATCACATAGGGGAATAAGGGTCTTGCTTTATTGAATCATCAAATCCCAGGAATGAAGCTCTTAATTAATTATGGGTGC